ATATATGAACATCTTTCTAAAAATAAAATAATGAATAATATAAATAAATAAAATCTTTTTTTTGTGTGTTTCAGTTGAAGAGATAAGACGTATTTTATTTTGGCGTAAGTCTTCTTTTTTTTTTCCTGCATTATAAGTATTTTGCTATTAACTTTTTCACTCCAATATATTTCATCTCTATTTATATATCTCATCAACTATATTTCATACTTCTATTTCTTAGTTTTGGTATTACTTTTACTTTTTTAGTAATACTTTTTTAGTATTACTTTCGCTACTTTTCTACATTTACTATTATATATTCACGTGCTTTTGAGTAATTTAATTATAGTATTTTGTTTCTTAATATTTACTCGTATATACATAATTATATACCTCTATTATATGTTATTGTTGTGAACATTTATTTAATTAACGGTTTTATTTTTTCTTAAATTCAGTGTTATTATTAGGGATGTACCGAAGCTTCGGCTTCGGCTTCGGTTCGGCCGAAGCCATGGGCGTTTTTTGCCGAATCATTGGCTTCGGCAAAAAAATGGATATTACTAAGCTGGCATTCGACTGAGGAAGACATTTTTTAAACGTTCACACGTTGTCTGTTTTCCGAATAAAACGTAGTTGAACGTTCAAAATTCTTCTTTTTCTTTTCTTCTTCTAAGAAATTTAAATAAGCCTCTGATTTATACAGTTGCGAAGATTAAATGAATCCAGCGACGGCTTTTGGAGGTGGCAAGGCCGCGTGTAGGGCGGCCAAAAACGGCACGATAGCAAATAGAAAGTAAAGTTACTTAATGAAACACATTGATTTTTTTATAATCACTCAATATAAGCTGATTTAAACTGTAACATTATAGTAAACTTTATATAATTAAATACCATAACCCTAATATTTAGTTATGATCACTCGAGCTTAGCAATAAAATTTATTTATGCATTAGTTGGTAGTAAAATAATGAAAAATTATTAAAATTTAATTTTTTTAGCATTTAGTTATTAGTTAGCATCAACTTCTAAAATCCGAGTTATGTTAAATTATATATTTTTTAATATTAAATTAAAATTAAAAATTAAACCTGGAAATAAATCTTCATTTAAAATTACTAAGATGTAACTAAAACATAGCGCACGAGAGTTAAGAGAGTTAACTATTCTCGAAATTTTTAAAAATCTATACAATAAGAAAGTTTGTTTTACTAAGTCACAGACAGAACACAGAAAGACACTACACAGAAAGACACTACACAGAAAAGATACTACACAGAAAAGCACAATTGAAATGTAAGTCAATTGCGTTTGTTTTTGATTTTGTACGCTGGATCATTAGTAAAAGTAAATATACCTGCTCTACAAATATAGGTTAATTGGTTATTTACGACTTCGATTTTTTTTAATTCAAATAATATTTGAATCAAAAAATTGAACGAATATTGTTTATTTCAATAAATATTATTAAAGGTAAGAAAATAATTAAACTTTCTATTTCAATTTTCAGAATTGTTATTATAACTTTAAGTTATCCATTAGCGCATTATGGCTACCTCATCGCGAAGTAAAAATCCATTATGGAATTATTTTAAAGTGAGTGATGAAGATGTTGGCAAAGCCATCTGCATACTTTGCAAGAAGATTTTGTCTAGAGGAAGTAAAGACGCACACAATATGTCAACAACAAATTTACAAAACCATCTGAAAAAAGTACATTATAATATACATAGCATGATTCTTTCTCAGAAGAAAATTATTAACCACGAATCTTTACCAAATCCAAATGAAAAGTCTATAAAACAATTTTGCACTACTCGAACAATATGCTCAGATAGAACAAGCTCTGCTGAATCAGTGCAAATCATTACCAGCACTGCCACAGATGAAACGCAGGGAAGCTCGCGTGTGTCTAATAACACAATTGCCTTTTTTCAAAAAGCATCGACACAGGTAACTCAGCTAACTGTAGCTGAATTCATTTACTATTCAGTATTTATGATTTTGTGACTGGATGGGGGCATGTCTTGTCGAAAAATTATATTTTGTATAGAAAAATGTTAACTTGACTTATCTAAGCTTATAATATTATAATAAATGTACTGGCGAGGGAAGAAAGATACATACCTCTATCCGCCACTTAGATCCGTCGCTGGCCATTGTTAGTTACAAGTTGCTAAGTAATTTTTTTAATTCGTTGAATTTGTTTCAGGTCTCACTGCGGGAGATTTTGCAAAGAAAAGAATTGTGGCAACTTGATAATCCTAAGGCTCAAGCTATTACCAAGCTTATTGGAGAAATGATATGTTTAGACTTGCAGCCATACTGTATTGTTGAAGATAAAGGTTTTACCCGACTTTTAAAGAATTTAGCTCCAAACTATACAATACCTAGTCGAAAGTATTTCTCCACAAAAGTCATTCCACTGATGTATGAAACCATAAAAGCCAAAGTAAAATATGAGCTTGATCAAGCAGATTTCTTAAGTTTAACTAGTGATGGTTGGACCTGTCAGCACACAATTCAATCGTATTACAGTTTAACAGCTAGATTTGTAACGCATGAGTTTACAGTTAAACATGTCATCTTACAAGTTACACACTTCCCTGAGTCGCACACAGGGCACAATATAAGTAAATTCATAAATGAAGCGCTACAATCATGGGAAATTCCCCATGAAAAAATTCATGCAGTTTTAACTGATAATGCAGCCAATGTAATGGCTGCCATTAAAGAGTCAAATTTAGGCGATAAACATCTTCCATGTCTGATACATACTTTACAATTTTGTATTCAGAAAAAGATTTTTAGAGAACAAAGAACAGCAAGTGATACAATAGCTGTTTTTCGAGCATTAGCAGGACATTTCCACCACTCATCTAGTGCTGTGGCTAAACTAAAGGAAATTCAAAGTCAACTAAAATTGCCAGAGCATAACATAATTCAAGATGTTTCCACAAGATGGAATTCGACATACTATATGCTTGAAAGGTTTCAAAGAAAGTTTTGTGCGCGCCTCCTTCATCTGTAAAAAGTGAACGCTTATTTAGCACATCTGGAAACATATTTGAGGCAAAAAGAAACAGACTATTACCCGAACATGGAGAACAGATTGCATTTTTAAATTGTAATATGCCTGCTTTCATTGAATAAATTTTTATTAACTAAATAATAGACTGTAGCTTCTTAGTTCAACTGATTCAACTTTTTAACAAAATTTAAAACAAATACCAAATTTTGTGTTCAAATTCAAATGACTACTTTTATATTTTTACATTTTACGTGTTTACATTTTTATAAATTCTTTCAAAGAATAGACCATAATTTACCTTAAGTATCAGTAAATGTCTAAGATTTAGTGATGTAATCTTTCCTATACCTGCTAGATATATAGAGTTAAGACTCTAAATTTCACTCTCTAAATTTTTGTACAAAATTTGTTTAAATTTTTTATAATATTGATTTTGTTTTATAATTTTCCTAAAATGGGCATGTAGGCCAAAACATTGAAACCTAAAACATTGATATATAATTTTGAAAGCAACTTGATTATTCAAACCACCGTGGTGAAGTAAATTGAGCTTTAAATTACGTATAGCTTAAGCCGAAGCTTCGGCTTCGGCAAAGTGGCTTCGGCCGAAGCTTCGGCTTCGGCAAAATTGCAGCTTCGGTACATCCCTAGTTATTATCTTAGAGAATTTTTTGAAAGTTTCAGCGACTTTTTTTTTTTTTTTTTTTATTATACTCAAGTCGTATTCTAAACTCTGAAGCTGCTTTTCTATCGTTTTCTAACCTTTTTGTTTATTTTCACTAAGATAAATAAGTCATTGTTCGTATAGAGAGACTATTGCATTTATTGTATTGTAAAAAAATTATAAAAAAAGTTATTTATAAAAAATTTATATAAATTATATGATATTTATATTCGTAATAAAAATACAAATATATTATTATATGTATATATATATATATATATATATATATATATATATATATATATATATATATATATATATATATATATATATATATATATATATATATATATATATATATATATATATATATATATATATTTATATATATATATATATATATATATATATATATATATATATATATACATATATATATATATATATATATATATATATATATATACATCAATATACATATAATTTAAATTTTATATAAACTATATATACTGTTGTTTAAACATATTCACGCTAAATTCCGACATTTCTGAGTTGAATAACAAGTACGAGACGCTTCTAAAGAAAGTAGAAGCGTTATCAAAAATAGTTATTGAACAAACATCGACGATCATCGCCCTCACAAAGCGAATCCAACAACTTGAGGAAAAACCCATTGCTTCCTCAACTACAACGGAAGCATGGAACGTTGTGGTCGGAAAAAAATTGACTAAAACGCCAGCTCAATTAGATATGCTTAATTGTGTAGCTAATGAGAACAAAGATAAAATGAAGCGTGACAAAAATCTTATCGTCTTTGGCATTCCAGCATCGACTAAAAAAGAACCTAACGAGAAGCAAGTAGACGATGAGAACAAAATAAAAGAGCTTCTAACCAACGTTAAAATTAATTCGGACAATATAATAAAATTTTTTCGCTTACGGTCAAAAGATCCGAATAAACCTCCACCTATTATAGTTGAGACGACAGACACTGTCACCAGAAATAATATTGTTAAAGCAGCCCGGTGTAAATTTGAAAGCATCTATGTTAATCCAAATCTGACAGAAACAGAAAGAAGCCAAGATAGACAATTACGATACATGTTGAAAAAGAAAAACGAGCCTTTTAATTTAAAAAGCAACTGGGCAAAGGCAAGTTATTACTACGTTATTCGTAGTAATGCTTTAGTTAAAGTAGACAAATAGCAATCAACAGTAAGTAACTTAAAACCATATAATGACAATTTAAATATAAGCGAAATTTCTTTAGAGCGTAAGTCACTTTCAACTATCAGTCTACTACAACAGTCAGCTTTCCATAAAATGCCATGCTGTTGTACCAATGCTACATCCCTTAACAATAAAATGCCAGAATTTCTAGCATCAATTGAGACATACAAGCCTAAAACAATCTTCGTTACAGAAACTTGGTGGCATGAATCATCGATAACTAACATTGAAAAATATATGTTATTCAGAAAAGATCGCGTGTACAGTAGAGAAGGTGAGGTGGCTATTTATGTCGACACTTCATTAAAACCTAATGAAGTAAGAAAAATTGTTTTATTAGATTCCCCTGAACAAATTTGGTGCGAAATATCGTACGGTTCCGAACACATCCTTCTGGGTTGCATATACAGGCGACACATGCTAGATCCACTCGAGAATATTGAAACGTCCATTATTAAAGCAAATGAACTTCTGTCTATTATATACAGTGGCTTGTTAATTTGTGGAGACTTTAATTTGCCAGGGATTAACTGGGATTTTAGCAGTATTCCAACTATCAGCAACACAGATACCTTTTCAAGTAATTACAATTTGTTACTAAGCCCACTTTTCAGCTTGATGAAATCACATCGAGTAACACTCTTGATCTAATTATAGCCAAAAATGAAAATTGGGTCCTCGATATTATTTACCATGCACCTTTAACGTCTCTGAAGAAATCTCACCAAATCCTTCAATGGGATTACGTTGTTAAAAGCGCTGCAGTTGTAGAAAAACACATTGAAAAACGCATTTATCATAAAAGTAACTTTTAAAGATATCCAAATATTTTAACAATATCAACAGGCAGATGGAATTCAATGAACGCAATACTGATGACTGTTATAAAATTTTTCTGAACCACTACGAGGTTGCATGCAAAACTTATATCCCAGTGACTAACTCAAAATGGATTCGTCGTAGAAGCGAACGGATGAATGATGACATTAAGAATAAAATAAAAGCTAAAAATGAACTAAGGTTTTGATGTAGAGCGAATGGGTATAAAAATCTTAAACTAGTCAACGAATACAAAGCGTGTAATAATCAATTGAAGAAGCTCATATATAAAGCTTGTTGTGAGTTTAAACTTGATTTAGCGATAAAATCGAATCACAACCCAAAGATCTTGTTCAAGTATGTTAATAGCAAAAACAATGTTAGAATTACAATAATAGCAATGGTGACACTATCACAAACCCAATAGAAATTACAAATCGGCTGAACAATCACTTTCAAAGTGTTTTCAACAAAAATGAAGACAATGAAGTGCCATATTTTATTAAACAAACTGAAGCCATCTGCAAATACTCGCAAATAACCTAAGATCTGGTTAAAAACACGCTGAGCTATTTATCAGTTGATAAAACCGTTGATTTGGATGGTGTAAGCGCATATGTACTGGAGATCTGTTCTGACAGTTTCTCAATACCTTTAAGCGCAATTTTTCAGAAGTCGTTAAATAGTGGGTGTTGTTCTGAAGTATGGAAAAAAGCTAATGTAATAGCACTGTTTAAAAAAGAAATTAGACTTAACCCAGGAAATTACCGGCCTATATCCTTAACATCAATTGTATGTTAAGTGATGGAGAAAATATTACGTGACACCATGGTCAATCATTTAGTTGAACATAGCCTTATTTTAAAAAATCAACATGGTTTTGTCAATAAAAGAGCTTGCGTGACTAATTTGTTGGAGTCGATTGACATGATGGCAAAAGCATTATCTGAAAAGATTTCTATGGACGTAGCTTTTATAGATTTCAGTAAAGCATTCGATATAGTTCCCCATAAGAGACTAGTTTACAAAGTTAAGGCATATGGTTTTACTGGAAATCTCCTGAATTGGATAAAATTGTTTTTACATCAGCGTTTTCAACAAATCGTGATGGACGATTATGTTACCTTGTGACTTGAGGTATTTAGTAGCGTCCCTCAAGGATCCGTATTTGATCCAATACTTTTTATCATTTTTGTGAACAATATATCCGATATTGTTAACCATCCATGTAAAATGTATGCTGATGATACTAAACTGCTGGCCCGTTTAGACCACCAATTAGCTTCACAAAAGCTTCAAACTGATATCTACAACATAGCCGATTGGTGTAAAACCTGGAAAATGAAACTTAATCTCGATAAATGTAAAATCATGCACATAGGTAAAAAAAAACAATTTTTATGTCTACTCAATGCCAACTAATAACAATAACAGTGTCGAACTAGCATCAACTTTAGTCGAACGTGATTTAGGCATCATGATTACGCCAGACTTAAAATGGCATAACAATTCAACTTTTGCAACCAATAAAGCTAGTCGTGTATTCGGCATGTTGTACCGTACTTTCAGCCAAATGACTCCGCAACTACTTAAAATTCTATTATATAAAATTATTAACAATATAAACATTGTCTCATGGAGTGAACCCCATGTCCTTCGTGTTGGAGAGTCAAATAAAATAAAAACTAGAGAATATCATCTAAAAATGACTAGAGAATATATTCAAAATTGCGAGCAAAGGCACCAGTTTTTTACTAATCGAATAGTGGATCATTGGAATGCATTGCCGTCAGAAGTTATATGCGCTTCATAAGTTAACAGTTTCAAGGCTTAGCATGATGCAGAAATTTCAAATAATCCGCATAAGTATCAAGATTATAACTACAAAAAAACAAAAAAAAGCAACAGGAAAAACAATAAAGTACAAACTTATACTTCATAATATATATCTTATTGTAAATTTTTATATATTGATATGAAAATTAGTGTAATAAGTAGATAAGGCTGACAAAACCTGTAGGTTATACAGGGAAACCTGTTGCAGCAATTTTTTCTACAAGTACTACTAAATGCCAGTCGATATGGATTTAAAAGTAATAATTCCACGGAATACGCCATACTTCATGTAATTAGTAAAATTGCAGATTCTTTTGAGAAATCACATTTTACTCTTGGAGTTTTCATTGATCCATCAAAAGCCTTTGAATTGATAGATCATGAGATTCTTATACAAAAACTTAAAAACTATGGAATCAGCGGAAATTTCTTAAATTTGCTAAAAAGCTATCTAAGCAATCGTAAGCAGTTTGTGCAAATTTACGTACCCCCCTCAACAAGTTTACTAGATATAACATGTGGTGTTCCAGTTTCAAAAAATATTGGAGTAATGTATAAAGCGAGAAATTTTGTAAATAGACATTCATTAATTCAACTTTATCACTCGCTAATTCAATGCCATATAACAATTTTAAAAAAATAAAATATTTCACTTATGATGTTATTTATTAAGTTTCGAAAGAATTTCAAATAGCAAAATTTAAAAAGCTTATAAGAATTTTGTTGTTTTTGTTTTACAAGGCCAATCTGAATTTAAAATTTTCAGAAGAGCTACTTGAAATTGAACGAAAAAAAATGCAAAAAACATTTGTGTATTTTTATATAATAAACTTTTGCATGTATTCTTATGAAGTTTTGTTTTCCGCTCACAAGTAGGCGCGTACATGTTCTTTACAAAAAGTGACGTTGCACGATAAGTCGTCTATTTCTTGGTAATTTTTGACTTTAGGTAAAATAAAAAGGGCGATGTAATTTTGTGAATGTTGTTTACAAACAAAGTACTAGCATATAAACACGTCACAAGGAGAAGTAGTTTCCAGTTCTTTACACAGATCATTCTATTTAGAATACTCTAAATACCGTCAAACCGGTGGCATTCCGGAATTTTTGTCGAGTTACCCACTTTAACAATATATTTTATTGAAATCTTTTCAAATAATGATGTTACTGTTTTGGCATAATGCGATAAGGCCAAGTCGGACCCGACGAAGCCAGATTGGACAATATTAACTCAATAATCAGCGTTCACACTGGCTGGGTTTAAACGTAGGAGAGTGCCGAAAAATTCTTATATAAATTTGCTTCAGCGCATTAATTTATATAAGATTTTTTTGGCACTCTCCTACAAAAAAACCCAGGCTGTGACAACGCTGTCAATAATATATTAAGAATAGCTAGATGTATAACTCAATGATCTTGATTTAACTAATGTCTAACTTCGTAAAAATTCTGTTAAAAAAACTGAAGCAGTTTTTTAAGCTTGTAAGCTGTTTACCGGTATCAATAAAAAAATTGAAAACAAATAAAAATGATAACCTTCATTTTGTATATAATAATGATTTTAAAAGCATTAGTAAATAAAAAATACTAAAGAGTTTTAGTTTGGCTAGTTAACTATCTAAACTATAATATATATATATATATATATATATATATATATATATATATATATATATATATATATATATATATATATGTGTGTGTGTGTGTGTGTGTGTGTGTGTGTGTGTGTGTGTGTTTATATATATATATATATATATATATATATATATATATATATATATATATATATATATATATGTGTGTGTCTGTGTGTGTGTGTGTGTGTGTGTGTTTATATATATATATATATATATATATATATATATATATATATATATATATATATATATATATATATATATGTGTGTGTGTGTGTGTGTGTGTGTGTGTGTGTGTGTGTGTGTGTGTGTGTGTGTGTGTGTGTGTGTGTTTATATATATATATATATATATATATATATATATATATATATATATATATATATATATATATATATATATATATATATATGTGTGTGTCTGTGTGTGTGTGTGTGTGTGTGTGTTTATATATATATATATATATATATATATATATATATATATATATATATATATATATATATATATATATATATATATGTGTGTGTCTGTGTGTGTGTGTGTGTGTGTGTGTGTTTATATATATATATATATATATATATATATATATATATATATATATATATATATATATATATATATATTATATATATATATATATATATTTATATATATAAATATATATAGGATCGGGTTAAGTACTTCGTCGCCTCCCGGCACTTTAGGCTTCCTGGCCTCTGTTGGCCTCCAAGCATTCAAATTTAACAGCGGTTTAAAATAAAAAAAATCTTTGTAATTGTTGCGCTATGACTTTATGATGTATTTTCTTTTGTATTTAAACAAGATTCTTGCGTTATTTATTATTAAAAACACGTCGCAACTAGTATAGGTTTTAAAATACCTTTCGTCTACATTTTATGCTTGCAAATGCTGATTTTAAGTAGATTGGAATCCAATACCCAGTTTTTTATTTGAACGAAAGAAAAATCTAAAAGACATTCATGAAAAAGGCTCCAAAAGGAAGACATTCGTTCAATAAGTGAAAGTTAAGATCAGTAGTATAACGGTCAACAAGTTGTTGTGCACTGCAAGTAATCTCCAAGATATCCACGCTGCGGAGATTCGCAAGAAAACCAATCAGAGAGTTCAATTCAGAACAGACTTTCTTTTTTTCATCTATATCACTCATTAGTTTTTCTGTGATCTCGTTAACGTCGGCAATCATTTAAAATTGCCCAGAAAACACTATAGTGTCCCCACTTTTAATTTCATCATCGTAATTCCTTTTGTGTACTCTTAGGAG